TCTAAGATGGATGGATGGAAGGAAGGAAGGAAGGAAGGAAGGAGAAATTACAAAGATTACAGTTCTTTAAAATAACATTTCAGCACAGATCTAACTAATGCCAAACAAAGGGTGTAGTAGCATGTTTTAGTTCTTTCAGTGTGGATTTGGGGAGTTAAGGAATCTCCAAGTGTATAAAAACCCCAGTGCCGAAATATGGAGAATATGAAAGAGCCATAAAAACAGCGTGTACAAAAGAGCCAGCTACAGTGTTCAGAGTATCAGAATTGATCATTATTACCCAGCATTTAGAATATAACCTAACAGAACCTATTTGGAACACATTTATTTTTTAAAATTTCAAAGGAGGTATAAATAGCAAAATAAGATTGTCTTTATCATTAAATTAATTATTCTGTACATTGAGAAACACATACACCTTAAAATTTCTGTCCTTTGATTTGAACCAGCAAAAAGCAATAACTACCAAACCAAAGTCGTGTGAAGTTTTGAAATAATTAATGAAATATTTACCATAAAACATCCTTATCCTTCATAAAAGTTACAGGCAGGATTGCAATTGTGTTTGGGGAGGGTGAAAGTTGGAAAGTTAACTTGTTTACATGATTCCCAACATAGATGTATTTCACAAATAATTATACAACCCTGTCTTTGCTTTGCAGACAAAAATGTGTCCTTGAATCAATGTTTTATAAATAGAGTATACAAAACAAATTATTTGTAAAAAATTTTAAGATACATATGCACATTAATATTGAGAACTTAAAAGAGAAATTTCGATAGGAAGAAAATGCTTTGGAAATTAAAATATACAAGAGATAAAACATTCTGTCCATCATGTGCTAAGCCTTCTACCCACCATTAAAGAATTTCCTTTCATTCTAAAATAACAATATTTTAGAAATTTTGTCTCCCTTTTTATCACATGAGAAGCATTAAATGCTAAGAACGTGCTACTCACTTTTGGAGCAGGAAGCCTCATTTTGCAATTGTAATATGAAAATGCATTCTATCCAAATATGTGTTTCTTTAATTCAGTAGTATCTAGCAGGATTTCAAATTTCAACATTAAAATAGTATTGAGTAATAGTTTTTTATTTTTGGCAAAGCTTCTAGAGTCATATTTTTCTAGAAATTTGAATTATGTTTGAAGACTGTTAAAAACTTAAGTATGTAGTTCACTTTTAGAAAATCATAATTAGTAATATAAAGTTTATGTTGCAGAAATGTTTCAGGTGTAGTATAATTGAAAATATTGTTCTGAGGTATATATTTTTATTCAGCATGAACATGGAAAAGCAAAAGAGCTAGTATAACCACACTACGTATAATTATTATTTAATTCTGTTAAACTAGACATCTTGTTCTTTTGTGAAACGTTTCCAGAAATAGATTCCTACATTTGTTTCTACACACAAAGTTCGTGCTTGTGAATTTATATTTTTGAAGTTGTTGAAATATCAAAGAGAAAACTATATTTTTTCCTGACTACATGAGAGATAGGAAAATTTTTGTTTCATGCTTTTTTAGGACAATTGTATATACATGTTTAAAGTTTAAGCACAGACATATTAACACCTACTCCTGCAGTCAAAGATCTCATCATTCACCAATATTACTTGGGCTAACTAACGAGTAAGATCATGCTTCGTGCTTTTTGCCATTTAAATAGGTTAAATTTGTGTTTTGTGAACTTTTTAGACTGTAACTAAAAACAAATATATTTGACACTGCAACTAAATTACATGCATACACACACATCACACATATGGGAGAGGGGAGGTTATTTGTGTGAGGGGTTGTATTGCTTATTTATGCATGAGTGTGTGCATGTGTATATAATTGAAACAAAATTGCAGAAAAAAATCTTTACCACATGCACTCTAGTAGTTTGTATTTTATTATATGCCATTCTGTTATATTAAAAAAATGCATTTCCCAACCCATGTCATTGATTTCATGATACTCTAATGGGTTGCAACCACCAGCTGGAAAAACACTGGCTTAGGTGATGGCAGTATAAATCACATGTTGGCAAAATGAAAGATGTCTTTCTACTGCCACCACCACGGTACTGTGCCCACCTCATGCCAGCACAGCAGTGTGTTACTTAAACCATGTACAGGTCAACATTGAGGCAACATGGCTAAAATAGTTTTGCCATCATTTATAGAAGAAGGATGTGAGTTTCATGCAGTCAGGGTTAATTGCATTACTATTACATAACAAAACAAAAGTCTCGCCATATTTGATGGAAGGATATTAATGTTTTCTAGGATATAAATTTAAAAAACAATAATATTATTTTGGAAAATTGATAAACACTATCTAAGTTTTATCTGGAACAATGTATATTCATGATTAACCAACAAAATAATGAAAAAAATGTGTAGTGAGTAGATACTTGTCCTGGGGGTTACGTAGAATTATTACGAAGGTATAATGTTCTCCAGGAAATATTGTTAAGTGAAAACACGAGGTTTAAAACAGTATATAAAGGATTTTATTTTCTATGTAACAGAATGAGAAAAAATATATACATACATACTTTTTTTCTTTTTTGGTCAAAAAGAAATACTGAAGACATAAATCAAAAAACTACAAAAAGGAACAGTATGCTGGGGATGTGGATCAGAAGGAACTTCTCTGAATATATATTTTCTCATCTTAACTCTGATAATTACATAAATGTTTTACATTTTCAAAAACTAAAATTAACAAAAAGACATACAGTGTATGCAGGATAAAGCAAATAAATGTTTGCGTTAAGATTGTTTGAAGCCAACATTTTAATGGATTTATTAGCATGAAGTCAAAGGAGTACATTTAAAATCCCAGTAATCTTAAACTGGATTTAGAAATAACAGCATGTACTCTTTTTTCCTCTGGAAATACATACAAGAATTCCTTGCTTAATATCAATAATCTATTTTCAAAAACATACATTGTAAGCATATTTTTATTATTTTAAATGGGAAAAATATAATGAATTGTAGGTAAACCCCCAAAGATAGCTGATTTCCTACAAGATAACTTATACACAACAATGCCTGCAGAAAAGTAACAGACTATCTTGATAGGATCTAAAATGTTTAAACATTGTTTTCTGATCATCCAGCAATTATTACTAACACAGTTGGTTTGTGTGTAGTTACGTGGGCTGTATGTGCGCTGCATTCTCTTGTTAGTTTATGATATGGTGTAGTAAATAACACACAGCAACCAAAAAGTTGTTTAAAAATCAAAATTAAAATAAATTCAAGAAAAGACCCCATAATAGCTTGTTTTTCACCAAGCTAAATCAGACATGACTCTTGAAGCAAGTCAGGAAGGCAGGAGAGGGGAAGGTGAAAGCAGTCGTCGCCATTTGCAGACAATGGCAGAAGGTGATGATATGCATGGAAGACGGGGCAGTTTTAGACGAACTGTCCTATTGAGAGGGACGAATGGAGATTCTCTGCGTCTCAGAGCTCGCGTAGAGACTGCCGGACAGCAAGGCTTTGTTAAATCTTCAGAGGCAGTGTTCAAGCAGAAGGAAGAAATGGCTGCAAAATGTAGATTTGCTTATTTTTTTGTTGAAAAATTCCTTCTTGTGATGCTGTAAGAACTGTCAGGCTATTATTAAAAGAAAGGTGTATCATCACATTGCCTATGACTTGGTGAAACTTTCTTAGTGGATCTGAAGCAAATAACCTGCTTATTTACATTCACTACACTTTTTAAGATGTCTACACATGATTGTTAACATTCTACCAATTTGTAATGGAACTCAACACTCTTCCACCACATAATGGTGTTTATAGTATTGTATTGAGCTTGAAAGATGTAAATAAGTATTTCCACTGATGTCTACACCAACATCACTTGAAAAATGAGGTAGCGAGAGATTTATAAATACTCCCTCTACTGGGAAAAAACACTAACTAGGGAAACATTCTGTGGGATATACCTGCATTTTCTAGCTCTGTCGCCTGAAAAGATCCAGAAGTAATGTAATCGGACGGCACTGAACACTCCTAACCCCAAATGATAGCCTCTGAATGCCATTTCCCACCAAGGAGAATTAGGGCTCCTTGCAGGAATGGCTGATTCCAGGTGTGGAGGAGAAAGTGAACAAGATGAGCTTGTGGCACCTGTTCATCCCAGAGAGGGCTCATGCCACACAGGCATGGAGGGTCCCGGTTAGGGTTAGACAACAGTGGGCAATTGGAGCATCAAGGGAGTAATCGCTGTACTTATTAAAGCCCCTATGTTCATAATTTTCACTAAAACAAGAAGTAAAGAAGCAAGGAAGGGAGGGAGACAGGGAAACAAGGAGGGAAGGAAGGAAAGAAAGGGCTAAGAAAAAATAAAACCCAACAAAACAAAACACTCACTCTGATACCATCGTGGTGAGTGCAGAGCAGAGATTTTGCATTAATGGAGCCTTTACAGCTATGGGGATCTGTGCTTCAGAAATAAGTCAGTAAAAGTATGTGTATAGGGATGTCTCCTGCAGCATTATTTGAAAAAACCAAAACTTGGAATCTGCTTAAACAGTTACCCAAAAGAGTAATAAAATAAATAAAGATACATCCACTTTTATGAAGTATTACACAGCCACTAAAAATAATGGAGCAGAATTTTATGCAATGATGTATAAAGATGCTCATAATATATTGTTTAGTGGAAAAAGAAATAGAAAAACCATCAGTCCACTTTTTTCCACAAACTATTATAAAACACTGTGATTATACAAATAAATGTATTTGCCTTAAAAACATAAAAGTCTAGAGAATCACATAAGATGATACACTAACGGTGGTCACCTCTGGGATTGGGATTTGACAGCAGGTGTGGGTGGAGTTAGCTTGAGAGGGAGCTTTCACATTTCATTTCATATGTTCTTATGTTTTGTAAAGCTTTTTTTGATTTGTAATACATATGTGAGGAAAGAGATGATCCCTTCTACGTACCAGTTGTATTACACTTTTGCTTAACCCTGTCTATCTCTTCCAAAGGTGTCAGGCAGCCAACAAGACTTGCCCCACAAATTACATGTGGAACAACCACATCTGCAGATGCCTGGCTCAGCAGGACTTTATTTTTTCCCTGAATGCTGAAGACGGTAAGCAGAATGGTGTTTTAAAGATTAAATACCAAGGGTCTCTATTTTGACTAACACATATTTTAATATTAAAACCACATGAACAATATTCAGACCATCATCCTTTAAAATAAGTGAGTAACAAAGAGGACATTCTCTACTTCATATTGATATTATTTTGAACTTTTGTAAAGGAACACACTCATGTTTGTATGCCACCCTTTAATGGAAAACATAAAAAGGAATATGCTTTTAAATGCTTTTAATTGTTCCCTGCAACACTGAGAACCAGATAAGGTATAGTAAAGTGTTCTGACTGTGTTTGTCCAGACGCGACAGAAGGATTCTACGACATCTGTGGGCCAAGCAAGGAGCTGGATGAAGAGACCTGTCAGTGTGTCTGCAAAGGGGGGCTTCAGCCTTCCAGCTGTGGACCCCACAAAGAACTAGACAGAAACTCATGCCAGTGTGTCTGTAAAAACAAACTTTTCCCCAGTTCTTGCGGGGCCAACAGAGAATTTGATGAAAACACATGCCAGTGTGTATGTAAAAGAACCTGCCCGAGACATCAGCCCCTAAATCCTGCAAAATGTGCCTGTGAATGTACAGAAAATCCACAGAAATGCTTGTTAAAAGGAAAGAAGTTCCAACATCAAACATGCAGGTGAGAGATCTTCATAAACAGTATTATTTCTCTTACTGGAAATATATTCTTCACCAAAAGCAGTTTTCTTAACTAAAATAGCAGTTGCCTGTTAGAATGAGGCCAATAAGTTCTGGAAGACAAAATCTGATATTTTTTAACCAACGCTAAACTTGCATGAGACTGGGTTTGCTCCCAACAGAGCAATACAGCAGCCTTGGGGACCAACGCCAGATCAAGCTCAGAATACACTCTCGGTCCTTGCCCCAGAGGCGAAGGTCGTGGTGTTCAGTGTGAGTTAGAGGACCTGTGGGACATTTTCAGGATACATCCAGGCAATCCACTGCTTCTCCCACCGAAATTCCACCTTCAGTTGTAATTTAGGACAACTTTTCTAAGTGCAGACAGTTTTTATGCAACACTTACAAACGAAGGGTAGGATAGTACCATTTACTGTAGAATTATATCTAGAAATGAAAATGTTTAAGCTAATTCTTTAATAGAATTAGAAATAAATTAATGTGCTATTAAAAGTTACCAAGACTCATTTCTTAAACCTTGGTTTTGCATTCTTCTTCACCAAAAAAAAAAAAAAAAAATGACATTATTAGACTCAAGCACATTCAGTGTTAATCCAGGAACCTCTTCCTCTTTAATCTCAGACAATAAGGTGATCTACTATTTAAGCCACATCTGTGCTTTTGACATTTTTTCCCATATTCCTTCAGCATTGCTCCCTGTTATGCCTTCTGTCTTCCGAACTTTTACATTTTCAACTCCATTTTCCCTTCGCCTTGGTTTATAAAAGTTTACAAATGTCTTCTATTTTATTAGCATCGTGCTGTGATGCTGAACACGCTTTAGCAGCCAAGCTCGGTCCTCTTCAAAGTTGCTCAGAAACTAGACATTTGTCTTGCTTTCATCTCTCTTTTGTCTCCCATTTATTTAACTGACTGTAATCTGGTTTGTGCCCTAGATTGCTGTGGTAAAGCTCTGTTTGAGGTATCAGTGGCCTCATAGTTATCAAATCCAATGGATAATTTTGTCTCTAGGTAACCTGTCCTTCCTGGGGCCTTTTTTCTTAAGCTCACCTCGTCTGTGTCTGACATGACATTGCTTTTCCTAGTTGTCCACTTAATTTTCAGACCATATATTTTTAATCACTTTCACTGAATTCTCTTCTTCCATCCACTCTTTAAATATGGGTAGATAATGTCCTTTTCAATAGAAAAAGCTTAGATTTCATTTATTTACAATGTAATGTCTTCATTAATGTTCATCATTATTTTTCTGCAGTAAAGAGCCCATCTTTTTGATTCTTACGGGATTTTTGCTCTCAGTTTACATTTCTGATGATCTTTCTACACTTACTTATTAGCTACTGTGTAAAGAAACTTCAATGAATCTAAGTATGTCACTGATTATATTTTTTTCTTCCCTTACTGTTGCAGAGGACCTTACAAGAATCCTTATATTTTGAGTAATCACTATTTTCTGATTTTCCTTGCATATTCCTACTCTAATTACAAATGGATGCTTTAAAAATGCACTACTGTATTCTGAAAAATATAGATACTAGACCTTATTAAACCTTGTTAAAGCATTTTCTATATTGAATCCTTCTTGAATGACTATAGTGTATATTAAAAAATCAGATATATTTATGTCTACATACAGACTAACCAGCCATCATATTTTTCTACAGAATTCTTATATGAACTCAGTAGAAAAGATTGCTACCGTTGTATTTCTCCTAACAGTACACATTCTTTTAAAAGACTTTTAATTTACTACAACTTTCTATATTCATTTTTCTAAGTGTATAATTCCAAGTTTTGTGGTGTGAATTAGAGCAAAAGGGAAAATTTAATATTTTGAATACACACACACACACACACACACACACACACACACACACACACACTCCTCATTCTCTCTTAATATTAATTCCTAAGTGTGGTGAGCAGACGACTTCTTTGGTCCATTGCCTTGATTAGCAGCTTTCATAGTTCATTAAAAATCATATCCCTTTTTAGTAAAGAAATGCCAGTGGTTTTATAACTGTGAATTTGTATTCAAGAAGTTTAAAAAAAATTAACTGGATATGCTTTCTTTTCTAGAGCAAAAGAAATGAAATTTCAAAAACTAAATGTGCAGGGTTCTTTGTAGCACACCTTTGATTTCCACTACGGGGCATCTTGCCCTTTTCCCTGTACACGTGCTCCCACATGTCAGGCATGCTCCTGCTCCACACTTTTCCAAAGACAGCTCCAGTGCACTGGAGCAACAGGGCTGCCAACGGATTTACTGATTGGTAATTTGTCCTTTCACCACTGCTAGAAATTGGAAGTCTAGGGTGGGAGGAGAGGGACTCCCACTGGTGGGTATTGTCCCTCTCCCTCCCTTGCCTCAGACCTCATCTGTGTCACCTGGAGCGCAGGTGGAGAAGGAAGAATTAGCCACCATCATGCAGCCAGATGCTTAGTAGAGACACCAGAGTGAGGCTGGGGCTGTTCACTGAGGACCACGGTTCCGCCAAGGTGGCTGGGTTTAATTGCCTGGAAGTCTGGGTCCCATGCAAGTCCCAGACTCTTGCCAGCTCTGCCCTGCTTATGTGATCACAGTAAATCAGCAGACTTTAAATATTCACTTCTGAAATTTCTGTTTTATGTTACTTTCATCCACAAAGCAGGGAGCACTTCACAAGAAACAATACTTGCTATACACCATCAGCAAGCAAGACTTATTTTTTTTTTCAGGATTTTTCCATTCCTCTTAACTGTTGCAATTCTAAGCACAAACTTTAAACTTTTATAAACCTATGAACAATTTTATGGCAAAATTAGAAATTTTATTCTAGTTTAAAATTTAGAAAAACACAAAAGTACCTTGGTAGTATAATGAATTCATTGCCTTGATCCTTAACAACAGTGTGTTCCTCTTTGTTCTTTTAGTTGTTACAGACGACCGTGTACAAATCGACTGAAGCCTTGTGAGCTGGGACTTTCGTTTAGTGAAGAAGTGTGTCGCTGTGTCCCTTCATATTGGAAAAGACCACATATGAACTAGATTGTACAATTTTCCAGTTCGTCATTTTTCTATTGTGGAAAACTGTGCTGCCGCATTAGAACTGTCTATGAACAGAGAGACCCTTGTGGGACATGGTAACAAAGACAAAAGTCTGTGTTTCCTGAACCATGTGAATAATGTTACAGAAATGGACTGGATCTCATCTGCAAAAGGCCTCTTTTAAAGACTGGTTTTCTGCCAGTGACCAAACAGTGGAGGTTTTTCTCTTGTGATTTTTTTTT